TGTTGCCACGCAGTAGGAAATATTGGCCCGTCATGTCAAGTAGCGCTGATCCCCGAAGGTGATCGTGTCAAACGCTCTGGCTAGAATGCAACGCCCGCCGCTTACGTAACTCCTTTTATATGACACCCCACACATTCGCGCATTAATTTCACTCACCGACACGCCCATCGACCCACCCTGGTCAAACTGGACAAACGGGTACAATACAGGTAAACACAATTACGTCACATTTTACAGGTTATACATAGACCCCGGGGAAACCCCGCACAATACATTGTAAACAAAGACACTCCATGTAACTAGTACCACACATTAAATGTGACCCTACGACATCCTCCCCCTGTTTAAAGATGTCGTCTCGACGTCTCAAATTAATAAACAATATTTCAATCGTTGTACTCAGCTGTCAGCACCTTAATACAAGATTATCGCATCATATTAGTTGTAACCCTGTAAAGACAACAACTATAAGCTAAACATTAGTACCTGTAAACAAAAGAATATATATCAGCCAAATATTATTCTGGGCAAAATTATTTGCTTACTTTAGAACACATCATTTCTCATGACGATATACCCTGAACACGATACCAGGGAAAGATACTATAAATATCAAATCAGAAATTTATTATCCGCCTGACAAACATAACAAATCTTAAAATCTATTTAAAAGTATTCCTCCATCTGAAAAGATGATAAGGACCGACTCTAACACAATTCCTACATCTGAAAACAACCCACAAGAACCACAACTGGCATTGCAGTTTGTAGCTTTTCAGCAAATTAAATTAGACATCTATTTACAAATCTCACTCCGTCCCTTCATTTATTTTGATATAAAATCCAATCCCCCTCTACTACTTGACCCATTTGTCAATTACCATATCTCTCTGGAGGATTTCTCACCCTACCCGACATGAGAGGATTCATTTATCCTTGGTATCTCCGGCATTCCAATAACCGACACTGTTCTCAATGTCCTCAATGTTCTCACTGTTCTCAACGAAATTGTCAGGAATATTATTCTCCAACATAGATCTCAAACCTCTATGGGTCCGTCTTGGTCTATACAGGTATTCCTCCTCCGAGCTTGAACCTGAACCCGACGACATGCTATCTTTCCGTGGTTCCGCCCTTGTGGTGACTGCTTTACGCCGTCCTTCTGGAGCCACTCGAGAACTCGAAGTTCCATCCTGAAGCTCCTCCTCATTCCGTCCCGCGTAAGGTAACAGCATGTTTCTGTGTACGGTTCTAACTCTACCTGGACCTTGTTCGGGCCGAACTCTGTATACTGGTGGGTCCTTGTGACGTTTGGACAAAACCTTGTAGGGCAATTTCTCCCACTTATCAGCAAGTTTGCACTTACTCCTTAGTTTAACATTTCATACTAACACCCGGTCTCCTGCCTTGAGAACTGAATCCCTTACCCGAAGGTCATAATAATGTTTATAGGATTTTCCAGATTTCTTGGCATATCTCTCAGCAGTCCGGTAAGCAAACCGTAACCTAGTCTTAAGCTCACTTACATATTCCATCTTTGGTTGAAACTGAGGAAACTCCTGGTCATGTAAACCAAAATAGGCATCTCCAGCCAGCCTAGGCTGTCGCCCAAATAACAAATAAAATGGGTAAAACCCTGTACTCACATGAGTTGCTGCGTTGTATGCATGAACCATTGCTGGTACGTGTGCTTTCCAATTCTGTTTCTCCTCGTCCTCTAATGTACCCAGATATTTAAGAGTGTTTGATTAAATCGCTCGGTCATGCCGTTCCCCTGAGGGTGAAAAGGTGTAGTACGAGACTTCCTTGTTCCAGCTACCTTACATAGTTCCTGAATGATCTTTGATTCAAAAATTTTACCCTGATCACTGTGAAGACTGGCAGGAAAACCATAGTGGACAATAAATTTGTCAAATAGAACTCTGGCTACCGTAGTGGCTAATTGATTTATGGTAGGTATAGCTTGGGCGTAACGGGTATAATTATCCGTGATCTCTAAAATGTGCTCGTAGCCTCCCTTGCTACTCTCCAGTGATAGAAAATCAAGACAAACCAACTCCATCGGCTCTGACGACACACTTCCAACCATCTCTGCCCTATTTGTCACTGCAGTTTTTCTTCTGATACACCTATCACAACTCCTCACCTGTTCACTCACATCTTCCTCCATCCCACACCAATAAAATCTTGGTTGGATCAGAGATATGGTTCTATCCCGGCCCTGGTGACCTTGATCATTGTGGTAAGCTTTCAACACCCGAGACTTCCACTTGTGGGAAAGGACAATACGCCATACATACTCACCGTCAAATTGTTTACTATGAACTAGTTTCCCTCGTCTTACCTGTAAACGGTCCCAGACCTTTAACAGTTTCTTCACTGCAATAGGGTCTCTGGCTAACTTATTTCCCGACAATTTAGTCTCCAACTGTTTCAATTCAACTACCCACCGTATAGTAGCATCATTTTGCTGCTCATCTAACCAGTCAACTTGACTAAAGTTCTCACCTGATAAGGCTTGATCATGTTCTGCTCCCGGTAACTGTGCGGCACTGCATAATACTAAAGTCTCAGCTAAAGGTAACTTACCTCTCTGCACAGTGGCTGCTGTACACACAGCTCGCACAACTTCAGGAAATACACATTGCTCACCTTGTCCGGGTTTACGTGACAACCCATCTGCATCACCATTGCTCTTGCCAGAGCGAAAGATAAGCTTAAATGTGTAGTTTGCCAATTCAGCGACCCAACGATGCCCTGTTGCGTCCAACCTGGCTGATGTTGTGACATATGTAAGAGGATTATTATCAGTGTACACCTCAAACTCTGGCTGACCATACAAATAATCTTTAAACTTATCGGTGACTGCCCATTTTTAACACAAAAATTCCAGTTTGTGAGCCGGATACAGTTTCTCACTAGGTTTCAAACCACAGCTGTCATATGCGATCACCCTGTCCTTACCCTCTTGGTTTTGGTATAACACAGCTCCCAGTCCTTCTAATGACGCATCAGTGTTTAATTTAAACGGCTTTGAGTAATCGGCATACGCCAGAATTGGCGGACTCATCAGCTTCTCCTTGAGTAGCTCAAATGCCTTTTTACACTCCTCCGACCAAACAAATGGAGTTTTAGGTTTCTTTTACTTGGTTTTCACAGTGGGATGACCAATGAGTAAATCATTTAAAGGTCGGGCTATTGCTGCATATCCCTTCACAAACTTGCGATAGTATCCTGTAAACCCCAAGAAAGTCCTTACCTCTTTAACCGATTCGCATGGTTTCCAAGACTTTAATGCCTCTACTTTCTCCTCATCGGTAGCTATTCCCTGCTAACTTACCACATGTCCCAGGTACTTAACCTTGGTTTTAAAGAACTCGCACTTGGTTGGGTTCAAGTTAAGACCGTTTGACTTAAGTTTCTTAAAAACTGCCTCAATCCTTTTTATGTGCTCCTCAACATTTTCCGAAAATATCAGGACATCATCTAAGAATATCAAACATTCGCGGAGACACATGTCACCCATACATCGCTCCATTAACCTCTGAAATGTCGATGGATCATTACAGAGACCAAAAGGTAATCTCCTGAACTGATAAAATCCTAAAGGACCAACAGAGAAAGCTGTCTTATCCTTGTCCTCATCACACATCACTTCTTGTTAGTAACAAGACCTTAAGTCCAATTTTGAGAAAAATTTGGACCCTACAAGAGAATCGAGGGTGTCATCAACTCTTGGCAACGTGTACTGGTCCTTAATAGTCCTTGAATTTAAAGTCCTATAATCTATACAAAATCTTAACTGACCATTTTTCTTTCTTACCAACACTACGTTTGAAGCATATGGAGACATTGAATCCTCGATTACACCAGATTCCTTCATCTCCTTGAGATGCTGCCTTACCACTTCATACATGGCCGGGGTATCTTCCTATAGGGAAGTTTAAAGGGTCTGTCATCGTGCAGCCTTATACCGTGTTTCACTAACCCTGTACAACCTATGTCCATCTGACTTGTGGAAAATAATGAGCTCCAACTCCCCAATACCTGTTGTACTCTTAATCTCTGGGTACTGGTTAAGTTATCAGAATCAATCTGAACCCCTAGTGACTCCAAGTCTAAGGTTTCACTACTAGACTTACCTGGGGTGTTGTTTTGATCACTCGCTATATCCTTACCGTGTTCTTCAGGTTTCCAGTGGTCAACAACCTTGACCTCACTCAAAGTACCAAGTTCCGATCCTCGCGGTATTTGTATAGGATAAGCTAACAAATTACACATCCTGCAAATTACACAGCCACTCTAGCTGTTGAGCCTGCGGTCAACTTCACCACTCTGGGACATACTACCACTCCATTAGGAGAATCTACACTAGTCTCAACCACAACCGTGTCAAGTTTTTTAGACTGTCTTACCATTCCTTGTATAGTCAACATCTCCCCGGCACCGATTTTAGTAATCCTATTGGTGGTTCTTACCAATAGAGAATTACCAATCTTTAGACTGCTGAAGGCCGTCTTCCAAACCCTCAGCCTCTCCGAGTGCTAATAATCTGAGTACATTAGTGCCAACTATCACAGGAACATTTCTGTTGTAATTTGTTTCGGGTACTACCAACATTGGAACAGACACCGTCTCCTTCCTGTTCAGACACAAAATTTCCGCCTCAAAATACCCAGAATATGGCAGTGTACTACCATCAGCACAATATACATCCACGCCGAAATCCCCCAACGTTCTGAGCTCTAATTCTCCTGTTAATGATCGAAAAAATAACTCGCTACATGTGGTAACCATCGATCCTGTATCCACTAAACACTTGACTGGACTACCGCAGACCTCTATAATGGCCTCATTAGTTTCTCCGACCAATCGTTTTCTGACAATGTTTGGGTTCTTACCATCACCTCCCCCTATTTCCCCATTAATGAGGGAGGTTACTCTTTTGCTTGTGTTCTATTGGAACCCTTACCTGCATCATTTTTCTTCTGTTGCAATTTGTCCCCTTCATTCTTCCTGTAGTTTCATGACCCTCTGTTCTGATGCTGGCCTTGGGTGTTTCTGAAAAAATGGTTATCAACTTTAGTCTCTAATGACTTAAGTTTACTAGTTAAACCAGTAACCTGCTCAACTAGTTTATCTATCTTTGAATTTAGGTCACCATCCACCTGCATAGGCTGGTGTTGAGTACCCTTCTTCGAAATAGTCCCTTTTACCTTGTCAGCATTTTTTATTTCTAAATCGACAGCTCTTACCTCTCTGACCAAAGCATCAAATGTTCCAAGTTTTGCGTCATACCTGTGTCTGGTCTGGTTTTTTAGCCTCTCACTACTCAGTGAAGTCCAAAATTTCGACCTAAGAATGCCCTCTTGTGCTGAATCTTCTATATGGCCATTATCAATGGCGGATTGAAGTAGCGATTCCAGCCGACAAGCAAATGACACTACTGTCTCACCGTCTTGCTGCATCTCTGAGTAGAATTTCTGTAATGTAGCCGAATGTGTGGCTACATTCCCAAATAAGTCATCTAGTTTTTTAATGATGGTTTCGCACCCCGCCTGCTCTCCTAATGGTATCAGCATCTGTCTTGCTGTCCCTCGTAAGGATTGCCGTACCGCCTGTCTTATTGTGGCAAGGGGATAATGCTCATCCCTCAGGATACACCTTACCTCAAATTTCCAAACATTAAACCCGACATCACCTTTCTGGTCATCTCCACTGAAAGGCGATATTTTGGGCGGACGGGGTAAATTCCCCTGGGTTCCATTAGCATTAGACAAAAACGTGAATTCCCCATCCGTGGAGTCTGAACGTTTAAATCTGAGATTCCCTGGAGACGGTAGGTCCTCGATTTGACTAACTCCACCAAACTTGGCCCTACCTCTACCCCCTATTTTAGGCTCTGGAGTGCTTGTGGCGCTTTTCCCTACCTTTAGCATCAGGAGTTGTTCATATTCCTCTTTTGTCAACACTTTATAATCTTCACTTTCCAATATTTTCTTAACAAGATCTATATCGCTTACCTGAGCTTCACCTCCTGTAGCCTTAGTATCGCCCGGGGCGACGGTGCCTCCTGTAGCCATCTTGAAAACTACTGATACTCAGGAATCTGGATACCTATATACTGTAATAAATATCTGCCCCTAAAAATGTGGGAGGAAATCTTGCAGTTACCGGTTACTATTAACTGGTTACTGGTGTCGGTGATTCACTAGAAAATTGTGAAAGAGGATTTTATGTAACTCCCCCTTTAAATGCTAATATATATACATCATAACTAATGTAGAAACATAAAACGAATAACATGTACATACACAACATACAGGATTAAACACATAGAAGCATAAATTTTCAATCTCAGAACCTCGTGCTCGCTACATTCACACAGATTTCAACACATAATATTTTCAACCCCACCACAAACACGTCAACGTAACCCCAGTTTAGTCAGTAAGTGCCGGTCGTCAGGTCATTTGGTCAAACAATGACAAATAGGCTATACAATATTAATCAAATTCTGAATAAAATGCAAATATTTCAACCAATTTACCCATGAAAAACGTGAATTTAAAGTGTCGTTGCTTTCCAAATCGTCCCACAAAACTGTTCACTTCAAGTTCGATCGTCCTGGTCACTCTCGCGTTTGATTCATCCGGGCGCGTTTTGAGCTCCGCGGTTGTTGTTGTTGTTCTTGGTCGAGTCGACGCTTCCTCTATATTTCTTGGCGCACTCACTGTAACTGGGGTCGTCGTATTTTTGTGTGATACCATACACTTCACACCGGTGTTAAATAAATATTATCTCACATTAACAGACGACTTCCCGCGGTGGTGAGATAAGTGTAGTTGGCCTAACATACCATTCCCTCCATTCCCTCATAAATAACTGCACATGTCAGGTCATAGCTGGCTGTGTAGCAGTTGTTCGCTGGGTCCGCTCGGGGTTCCTTTATAACTGTGATGGTGACGTCGTTTTCATTTTCCAAATTTGGTTCCCAGGTCTCGTCGTGGTCGCCATTTGTCGCAGGAAAAACAGTTGACAAACTCCATTTCTCTGTATACATTTATTTATTCATTTCCCCGGGCCGACGTATACTGTACAGATATAGTACAGGATTCAGAAACACAAAGGAACCCCTGCAAATACAATTTGCCAACATTACCAATAGACCAATTCATACAAGATACCATTAGTTATTCTTTATAATAATGAATTCGACGAATTTCGACCGATAAAATATTAAATTGTAAGAACAACTACTGTTACAAGTATTGTTTACCTGATACCGGCATGTTGCCACGCAGTAGGAAATATTGGCCCGTCATGTCAAGTAGCGCTGATCCCCGAAGGTGATCGTGTCAAATGCTCTGGCTAGAATGCAACGCCCGCCGCTAAGGTAACTCCTTTTATATGACACCCCACACATTCGCGCATTCATTTCACTCACCGACACAATTTCACTCACCGACACGCCCATCGACCCACCCTGGTCAAACTGGACAAACGGGTACAATACAGGTAAACACAATTACGTCACATTTTACTGGTTATACATAGACACCGGGGAAACCCCGCACAATACATTGTAAACAAAGACACTCCATGTAACTAGTACCACACATTAAATGTGACCCTACGATATATGCATCATACATATCGCACGTCGCGCCTACCGTGTTCGAATTCGGATTTAATCAACCACTAAATCAATAACATGTGATGAGAGCGTGATACATTATATATATATATAGCATATATGTAAATATATATAACGAAAATACAATTTACACAAATTTTAAATTGAAATAGTCATATAAAGAAGATATAATAGTTGACAGCTGAACACTGTATTGTGTATGTAAACATGTTACGTTTCCAAGGACTATTGCAGTACATAAGACGTGTATGATAACACACGAGCAACAATAACGTATTTAACGCATCTAGATGTAACAGTTGGTTTGTTTATGATACTTTGTAATGCCTTCCTAAGCGCCAACTCACGGTTAGCTCTATAGCAGAACGCCCACCTTGGGTTCTTTCCAAAGAACGGAACATACGAAAGACAATATACAAGGTTATTGCTATTGCCTTCTAATCATTTAGAGTTAGCGCTTCCAATGGCTATCTGAAATACTGTACTGGGATATTGGTGTGATTTGATGTATGTTTGATTTAAATGATACATTCTGTAGGTGTGTGATTTCTATAGGTTGTACAACAGGTGTATGAGTTTTACATGGTGTATGAAATTTTGTTTGTTACTTATTACAAAGTCGGCATCAGTTCCGCGCTATCACAAGAGGACAAACACGAACATATCGCAGCTTCCAAAAACACACACGCATACACTACACACATGCATCTTAAATGTATTATTTCTACAAGTTGTTTTAAATGCGGTTTGAGAAAGGACAAATAGTACATGTATCGTTTCTTAATATTGTTTTTAATGTTTAAAAACGGATTGATAATCGGTGAATGATTATTAAGATTTGTATGTGTGTATGGATGTCACATATTGGCTTTATAGTTTTCAATATGTTAAATATTCTATGAATAGGACAAATTATAGGTGTATGATTTTAAGGTTTTTTTTAAATATTTGTTTTTGCGATAGGTAAATAATGCATATATAGTTTCTTTAAGTTATGCAGCGATAAATGAGGTGACAAGGTAGCTTAATTGGTCATAGCGCCCTTTAGATCTCGGAGGTCCCGAGTCTGAATTCAGGTCAGGCCGTTGGATTTTCCATTGACTGTTCCGATTGGCGACCAACATGGAAAACCCAGGAATTTGGTATAGGGTCTTATGTGTTTGCTAGGTCAACTTCTTCCTTGAGGGCGGAGGAATATAGTAAAGCTGAACTGGATTGATCTGAAAACATAGGCATATACAAATGTACCTGGGTAGATCTATAGTTAAAAGGTCCAGTGTAAGATTCCTGATCTGGACATCGCAGTGTTCCTGGTTCATTATTTTCTGTTGAACTTCATATAGGTCGATCTGTTGAACTTGTTTTACTGAAGTACAATACGTTTAATTCTGTATTGTAGGAGACACGGAGATGTTGTTGGTTTTCAATTCAGAGTATGACGAATCCCTGAAAGGCTTCCTCAGCTCGCAATACCAGTCAGACTTTTCACTTTTCACAATCGGAGAATTCAAACAAAGCGATTACGATATATTACACACACGCAATCAAAACTACGAAGGAAAGGGATACCAAAGAACAAATTGGGAGAACAGACCCCCTACATCGGTAAAATTTAATCATCTAAAATAGAATCATTTTACATATACATCAGCGAAAAAAAGCATCGAAATATACCATTCATCAGTATGTAACATCATCACCATCAGTATGATATCATCACATCCATCAGTATGATATCATCACATCCATCGGTATGACATCACCTCCATCAGTATATCATCACCTCCACCAGTATGATATAATCACCTCCATCAGTATGATATCATCACATCCATCAGAATGATATCATCACATCCATCAGTATGACATCACCTGCATCAGTATATCATCACCTCCATCAGTATATCATCACCTCCATCTGTATGATATCATCATCTCCATCAGTATGATATAATCACCTCCATCAGTATGATATCATCACATCCATCAGTATATCATCTCATCCATCAGTATATCATCATCTCCATCAGTATGATATCATCATCTCCATCAGTATGATATAATCACCTCCATCAGTATGATATCATCACATCCATCAGGATGACATCACCTCCATCAGTATATCATCACCTCCACCAGTATGATATAATCACCTCCATCAGTATGATATCATCACATCCATCAGAATGATATCATCACATCCATCAGTATGACATCATCACATCCATCAGTATGACATCATTACCTCCATCAGTATGGAATCATCACCTCCATCAGTATATCATCACCTCCATCAGTATGATATGATCATCTCCATCAGTATGATATAATCACCTCCATCAGTATGATATCATCACATCCATCAGAATGATATCATCACATCCATCAGTATGACATCCCCTCCATCAGTATATCATCACCTCCATCTGTATGATATCATCATCTCCATCAGTATGATATAATCACCTCCATCAGTATGATATAATCACCTCCATCAGTATGATATCATCACATCCATCAGGATGACATCACCTCCATCAGTATATCATCACCTCCATCAGTATGATATCATCACCTCCATCAATTTTATATCAGCACCTCCATCAGTATGGTATTATCACCTCCATCAGTATAATATCATCACCATCGGTATAGTATCATCACCTCCATCAGTATGATATTATCACCTCCATCAGTATGATATCATCACATCCATCAGTATGGTATCATCACATCCATCAGTATGATATCATCACATCCATCAGTATGACATCATTACCTCCATCAGTATGGTATCATCACATCCATCAGTATATCATCACCTCCATCTGTATGATATCATCACATCCATCAGTATGATATCACCTCCATCAGTATGATATCATCACATCCATCAGTATGATATCATCACATCCATCAGTATGACATCACCTCCATCAGTATGATATCATCACATCCATCAGTATGGTATCATCACATCCATCAGTATATTATCACCTCCATCTGTATGATATCATCACATCCATCAGTATGACATCACCTCCATCAGTATATCATCACCTCCATCTGTATGATATCATCACATCCATCAGTATGACATCACCTCCATCAGTATGATATAATCACCTCCATCAGTATGATATCATCACATCCATCAGTATGACATCACCTCCTTCAGTATGATATCATCACATCCATCAGTATG